CGGTCTGTCTCCTCTCCACCTATCTTCTCCTCTATCCATCTTCTATCCGCCTCCCCCTCTCTCCCTATTTATTTCAGAACCCCCTTCCCCTCCCCCATTTCTGAAGAAGGGTCTAGGCCCGAAATGTCAGCCTTCCTGCTCCTCTAATGCTGCTTGGCCTGCTGTGTTCATCCAGCTCTACACCGTGTTATCTCATATTTGGTAGCTACGCTCTTTCCAACTTTCAGAAATCTCTATTTTGATCCAGATTTTTGTCTTTTTGTTAACCCCAGTTTCAGCAAGGACTTGCGATGACGATGATTCATCATTCTGTCGCCACCAAAACCAGTAAGTATTTGCATTTTCTTTCAGTAATTGTAAGACAGAATTTGAATCTTTTTTTCATTGTGGGTAATAGCTTTAGAATGAGTTATTCCAATTAAGCAGCATTCAATTGTTGAGCTTCTGGTTTTGGTTTGCTGGTCACTGTTGAATGTGTTATTGGTAAACAATGCAGATTAAGATGTGTGGCTTTGGTTTTATTTGAAAAACTCATACTGATTTATTTAACAGTTCAGACTACAATTTACATTTACAGATAACTAGATATGCAACTTGCTTCTGACATTCTTCTGGACTACACATGGCAGTTGGTCATGTTTTTATACAGGTAGTTGGCTCGTCAGTGCACCCTAAAGCACTATCCTCTCTTAAAATATACAGTTTTTATAGCAATGATACACAGCGTCAATCTTGTGGTCCGAGTAGCAACACGGAGTGTGTAGAGTCAGAGTGGGAGGAATGGTGGGACAATGGAGTGTGGTGGAGAAGCGGAACTTTCAATAAGATTCAGGAAACTGTCCCTTTTTCTCCATTACAAACTTGTATCAAAATTGCTGGAACACGGATGCCATTTTGAGAATCTGATTTCATAAGAAATTTGCCTTAAAAGAGGAATTCAAGCCCAAGGCAATGTAAGTCCATAAAAACATTAAAAAATAGGAGTAGGCCATTCAGCCTTTAGCCTGCTCCACCATTCAACAGAATCATGGCTGATCTGATACTCCGCATGTTCACTTTCCTGCCCTTTCCCCATAATCCTTGTTTTTCTTACCGATCAAGAATCTGTCTCAGTCTTAAATATACACAAGGATTCTGCCTGACAAGTCTCTGTTGCAAGGAGTTCCAAAGACACACTTCCCTCTGAGGGAAGGAATTACTCTTCATCTCAATCTTAAATTGGCGCCTCATAATTTTGAGAATATGCCCGCTGGTGCTAGACTCTCTCATGAGGGGAAATAGCCTCTCAGCCTTTATCCTGTCATGTCCCTTAAGTGCAGTCATTTGTAACCGGAAATCAGCTAAGCAGCCGAGTCACTCTGTACAGATAAGAAATAAGAGTGGGTCATAAATGCCCCTTAACCATTCATTAAGATCATGGGTAGCTCAAGTTGGCAAACTTCCTGATTCACCTTGATTCAAAGAGCTCTGTTAGATCCAAATTAACACTGTGGAGGTGGGTGTAACATAGAACTAGGTCCATCAACCCCAGAATTGGCACAGAGGCAGCCTGGAGATGGGTGAGCATTGAGGACATTCATTCATCTTCTCTTTGGAGACCGAAGTGAAGTTAGTTGGAGGTGATCAAGGAGAAATGTGTGTGTGGCTATGAAAGTGAAGAATATTCTGTACTTCCCATACACCATGACCTACACACAATTGAGCATTATGTTCTACCCTAACAATGTTTTAATAATGTGTGAAGTTTCATTGGTAGTTTTATACTATAGAACTGAAATGAGGCTGTTCAAAATCTCTTAAATTTTCAAGCCCTTGCAACAGAGATCATTCCAGTAATCTGATTTGGAATGTAATCCAAATTCCAGAGGCTAAATGCCCAAATCAATGATTATTTTTGCCACATCATTACATCAGCAGGATATGATTGGCTTTTTGGGGATGTAAAATCTGCACTAAGAAAGTTGATGCTAGAATAAACTATTAAACTTACTGGCCTAAGATGAAAGGAATGATGAGTTGTCTGGCTTCAGTTCCTGGGAAAAATTACTGGTTGCCCTCACGAAGTTACTATGAGTTTCTCAACTGGTGCAGTATTGACAGTCCAGTAAGCATCATTTATATATTTAGCAGTGAATTTTGAATGCTGTCAAACAATTGATTTAACAGGATGTTTGGAACTGATTGTGTACAAGGGCAGAGCTCAGAAAAAACTCACCTTTTCCTCTGGCTTTGGTTTAACTGGTGCTTTAGAATCTGTTTTACAAAATGCTGTTTCCAAAGTGATGTAACTGTGCATTTGTATAAAACAAACCTAAAAATGACGACAAATAGCAGCTTTTGTAGTATTTTCAAAGACTTTTTCAAAATAAAATATGAATGACTCATAAAGGCACTTTGACTGTTCTCCTTTGCTTTGCAATTGAATGAATGGAATCTGGTAGCTTTGTTTCTCCCTATTGTTACAAACAGATTAGGAAAAGGACCTCAATGTTGTGGACAATAGTCACCAAACAACACAGAAAACTTTGTGGCATGCTCTGTAGGGAATCTGAATCCTGTCCATACTGAACAAACAGCTTGTGTCTCAGATTAAAGTAGCCTTCATAAGACACGCAGAGTCTAAAAGAAGGATAAGTTAAAACTTTGATTCAGTCTAAAATCATAGAAAGTGAAATAAAGGATAGGAAAGAAAGATGGCATTGAGAGAGGGAAAGAAAAGTGCAATCATAGAGATGAAAGAGAAAATATTGCAACAGTTATTTTAGATCTCCAACAATAATTAATATCTGAAGTGATGGGATTTCACTTTAGGTATATGCAGTTTTCAGTGCCAGAGAGGTGGTTTGATCATAGGTCGTCATGTCAATTTGAAATTAATCCAAGGTTTTTCAGTAGAACTTCTGATATCTCCTTGTGCAAAGCAAAAAGGGAATATGCTGTCTACAATTTTTTGTTGCTGCCTTGAGAACCTTTATGCATGCTAAATCAGCCTTCTAAGGGAGCAACTGAGAGTTGAGCACGGGCTAATATATAAACAGTGAAGAACAATGTGTAAAGGAAGGGTCAAGCATTCCTCTTCCAAAACTTGGAAGACGTATGAAGGTTTTTCCATTGTTGGTGTATAGCGAACAAGTGATTTGAAAGCACTCTCTGTATTTGCTCTTCCACTGTTTACACCTAGTCAATGCAGATGATGTCACAACCCAACTGCACAACATTGTTTGCACTGATGCCATGTTAAAAACTCTTTGCATTGTCTTTTTTTAATTTAACAGGCTTGTTGATGCCATTTCAGTCCCATGTTCATTGTAGTCAGTAACTGCTGTAAATCTAATCTTTACCCATCTTCTACAAACAATTTAAGAAGAAATTAGCATAGTCAAAATGACGTTTATTTTCATAATTGCGTCAGATGAGGAAAATTGCTGGATAATTAAGTTGTACAATAGTCATCATTATGGTTTGTGCTCCCATACTAATTAATTCAGTGCTTATCGAGTATTCTTAATGTAGTTTGAACATGTTTGTTGGCAAGTGGATATTCATCTAGTCTTTTAACTTTGATGTAATAGGTATATTGTGCTATTGTACTAGTTGTTCTTTAAAAACTTCTTTCGTACTGCCTCATGTCTAGGGAAAGTGTGTTAACCATAACATATTCCATCATTTGGTCATTTGCAATATGTAGCCAGCCTTCGCAGACTGATGAAACTCTGGTCTATTCACATATGTAGATTAGTGGTATTGTGACAATCAAGACTTGATTGCAATGTGTTTGTGTGATTTTATCACAATGTTGCTGTCACTCCCATGTTTGCTGGTCTCAGGACTCCATCAACAGTCAGAAAGACCAATTCATATGACACCAATGGATCAAATTCCAGATGCCAATAACCAATGGAAAACAGCTTCAAGCTAATGCTTTATTCTGGAATAAGAACAGATCTGTATTTGCTTGCAAGTTGGTGTTTTTTTTGTTTTCTTCCTTCGTCCTGCTGATGTAGATGATAAAAAGTGTATTTTTGAGCTTGTAGCTAGTTCTTTAGGTGGAATCTTACAGGGATCTAAGTGATAAGTATAATAGTGTGATTTTGGCAGAATTTGTTTTATTTATTCATCAGACGATGGAGTCAGAGATAGCAAAAACGGTGGATACTGGAGTTGGAGTCAGAGTCAATACAGTGTGGAGCTGGAGGAACACAGGTCAGGCAGCATCAGAGGAGCAGGAAAGTCAATGTTTTGAGTCAGAATCCTTCATCAGAACTGACTAGGTCAGCATTTATTGCCCAAAGCTCATTGCCCAGAGGGCAGTTAACAGTCAACCACGTTGCTCTGGCTCTGGAGTCACATGTAGGCCAGACCAGTTAAGGATGGCAGTTTCCATCCCGAAAGGACATCAGTGAACCAGATGGGCTTTTTTCTGACAATCAGCAATGCATTCATGGGCATCATTGGGCTCTTATTTCCAGATTTTTATTGAATTCACATTCCACCATCTGCCATGGCGTTATTCAAACCCGGATCCTCCGAACATTGCCTGGCTGTCTGGATTAACAGTCCAGTGATAATACCTGTAGGCCATCACCTCCCCATATGAAGAATCAGATAAGAAATCTGGTGGGACCTATATCAGTTTCAGAACCAACTTGCTGCACTTTTTTATGCTTTTCTGAGTGACATGGCAGCTGCGAGTTACTAATTAAGGAAATTGTAATTAGGTAAACATCTTATTGATGGGACAACTCAACTCATTAATATCCAGCTTCCAGTTTTAAACAACATGTGAAACATGGCGAAATCTCCTTATGGAATCGTGGCAGATACCTGGTGACTTCAGCGCCCTCCTGGAAACTGGGAACCCACATTTCACGGCACTGGATCACAGTTTTAGTGGGGACTTCATGTGCTTCAAAATGAAGAACTTGAAAAAGGGAGGAAAAAAAGCTAGTGCCAAATTCTGACAGCAAATTAGTGAAATGCAGATGGAATTTAACACTATAACACAGTTGGAGATAATTTATTGGAGACCAATAACAAACAGTGAGAGAGTTAGAGAGTTTGAAAGAGGAAACATGCAATGCAAGAAGCCAAGCAAAGTGGGCTCAGCATGATGCTGTAAAATACGCAAAAAACAACAGGCGGGCAGGGTGATTCAAAACTAAACATAAGCTGCAGCTTCATCACGGAGATGTTGAGGGGACTTGCCAGGCCAAAGACTGACTGCAATCTGTGGCTTCAGATCAGAAGGAAATGTTTCCATTGCAAAAATATGCTATATTCACAAAAACTCTTTATCTACATCCACAGATACTGAAGCAGTTCTGTAC